AAATGCTGAATGAGTTCAGCCCTTTTGATTTTCTGACTTTAGCTCCTTGTACATTTCATTGTAATATTTTTCCTTTGTCATCCCATGCTGCCTTTTGGAATCTTCTGTTCAGCTCTTTAGTATCTTGAATTTTTCCTTGTGCTTTGGCTTTTCTGCACTCCAGTGCAATCTTCAGAGTTTCTTCTGACATCCATTTTGGTCTTCTCTTCCTCTTCTGTCTTTGTAATGACCATTGGCACTCTTCCTGGATGATACATTTGACATCCTACCACAACTCATCTGGTTTTCAGTCATTAGTGTTCAAGGCCTCAAACCTGTTTCTGAGATGATTCTGAAATTCAGGTGGTATAAACTCAAAGTCATATTTTGGCTCCTGTAGATTCGATCTAATTTTCCTCAGCTTCAGCTTAAACTTGCCTATGAGTAGTTGGTGGTCTGTTCAACAGTCAGCTCCTGGCCTAGTTTTCACAGCTGATATTGAGATTCTCCAGCGTTTTTTTCCACAGATATAATCGATCTGATTCCTATGCATACCATCAGGTTAAATCCATGTGTATAACCTGCATTTATGTTTCTTATAAAATGTATTTGCAATGAATAAGTCATTGATTGTACAAAATTCAATCATTCTATCTCCAGCTTCATTTCTGTCACCAAGTCCACGTTTTCCAACTAGGGATCCTTCTTCTCTGTTCCCAACTTTTGCATTCCAGTCACCCATTATTATCAATGCATCTTGACTGCATGTTCAATCGATCTCTGGCTGTAAAAGTTGGTTTTAATCATCTATTTCTATTTTTGTGCCTTAGGTACCAATAATAGCCATTATGGCCACTGGAGGAGGGACAAGATCCATGACGGCCATGTACGGCCACCTGCTGGGACTGCAGAAACTGAACATCCTGAACTGTGCCAGCTACATCACCGGCCTGTCAGGGGCCACCTGGTAAGGAACCCCGAGCAAATCGGCTAGCCTTGGGTGTCTGCTGAAGTACCCTCCCTCACCCCTACACTAGTTAGAGTGATTCACCCGGACAGCTCTGCCCCTCACTGCTGTGTGATCTCGAGCCTGCAGCTTAACTGCCCAGAGGCTCAGTTTCTTCATCTGTGAAGCGAGGCTAACAGTAACACTTGCCTCCTGGGGTTATTGTGAAAAGCTCTACCTGCTACTGATTACAGGGAGCCCATATTGATGTTACCATCGCCCCTAGGGCTGTGGCAAGAACCCAGGAACATGGTAGCATGAGTGGGGCCGTTGACTCCATCCTTCAGCCATCCACTCTGGGGAGATGTCTGGGCTGGCTGGGCTCCTCAGCAGTGGTCCTGACTGCCCACCACCCCTCCCCTGCTTACTCCCTCTGAACCATCAGGCTTCCTGGGCCTGCAGGGGAGGGGGCAGGTCCTTCGAACAGCGAACAGCGCCTCCTCCACACTCCCACCATCACCTCTGCTGGTGAGTCCCAGGCAAGGTCGCCTGGTCCACAGGAGCACAGCGCTCATGACCCTCAACACTGAAGTGGGAGGGAAAATATCTTATTTTAAAATCAAAAGCATAGAATCATAGTTGACTTGATGGCAACTAACAATAATAATTGGATTGAAGGGGGAAAAGTCATTCATTTTGTTTTTAGTTAATAAAAATGGTTTAATAAATGAAATAAGTATCACTAACATTGAGTTGGTTCCAACTCACAATGACTCTCCACCAGGCTTCGGAGGCTGTAAATCCCCATCTTTTGCTCTTAGATTTGAATTGCTGGCCTTTGGGTAGCACCATGGCACATAACACATTGTTATTGTTGTGTACCATCAGGTTGAAACCGACTCAAAGCTGACCCTCCAGTGGGTTATTAGAGGTAGCAAATCACATGGGAGCAGATGGCCCATCCTTTTCCTGTGTAACACATTGTGCCATCATATATTTGCCTTTATATATAATAATAAAACTAATTTAAATAGAAAGTTAGTTCCACATTACAAAAGCAAGGTGGCACAGAGCCAGGACAGATGGGCCTCTAAATGCACCCACAGCCTGTCAGCCCTGATTCTTACTCTTCCCAGGCTAACGGGCCTGTGAGGTCCTGGGCTATGTCCCTTATATGTCTCTTATCTTGGATAACTCTCCCTGAACGTGTGAATAGGAACCCACTTGAGGTAGCCAAGGGTTCCTAATATTATTCAGACCTGGCAGGGGCTGGAGACGTCAGCTCAGATGGTATAGAGGAGTAACTGACAACTAAGCTTTGACCCTGTGCCGGGATCTGTGATGCTGCTTTCTATGCATGGTCATTCTTCCTCACACAACCCTGTTCAGAAGGTGTTATGTTTTTGCTTATTTTAGAGCTGAAGAAACAAACATAAAGAAAATAAATATCGTTTTCCCAGAGTACTCAGTTAAAAACTGGTAGGGCTGATCTGAACCCCTGCCATTTGCCTCTAGGCCCCACATTCATAACCTCCACATTAAACAGATATCTGTACGTGGTTGTGAGGGGAGGTCTGGTGACCTAAGAAGCTACACTGCAGTTTCAAAGGTAGGTGGTTTATATCCACCACCTGCTGTGCAAGGAAAGGATGGGCCCCAGCCACAATAGCAAAGTTCAACAGAGCAGCAAACAACAAATGCTGGTGAGGGTGTGGAGAGATTGGAACCCTTATTCACTGCTGGTAGGAGTGTAAAATGCTTCAACTACTATGTAAGGTGGTCTGGCACTTTCTCAAATCTTTGGAAATAGAAATATCATTTGACCCAGTAATTCCACTACTGGGAATATACCCTAAATAAACCAGAGCCACCACCCAAACAGATGTATGCACACCCATGTTTATTGCTGCATTATTCACAATAGCAAGGAAAAACTATGGTATATTCACACAACAGAATATTA